TTTGCTTTAATTAAGAAACCAATATGGACGCATTGCCATTAACTAAAATCTAGAGACATTTTAAAAATCATACTACTATTTGGCCATTAGTTTTTCTATGGGTATTTGATCAATTTTAGGTCTTGCAAAGGTTATGCTGAAGAATAGTATTCCACTGCCATCTACTGTTCCACATAAATACATATTCTTTCCATTTTGAGTCAGACTTTTTTTCATTTATCTATACTTTCATAGCATTTTAGAGTTACAGGTTTCCCTGAAGTGACAGGTCGAGGAGAACTGACAAGATAAGAAAGCGAGTAAAGGGGACAGATGAGGTTGGAGAGGCAAAACGGGCCAGACCACAGAAGAATTTGTGTGTTACTTTTAGGAATGGCAGAGGTGATGGGGAATCAGTGAGTGCTGCATCAAGGAGCGTGTCGGAGTCAGACCCACATTTAGCTGGATCACTTTAGTCTTCTTGTGGAAGACAGACTAGGGAGAGGGGCGTGTTGAGAACTGGAGGAGGGCACGGCCCTGGCAGTGAGGGCAGGGAGAGGGGAGGAGGGGTGGAGCTGAGAGTCTGCACTGCAGACTGTCTGGGGGCTGGCAAAACTTTTAAGTTACTGCATTTGAACGGAATCTGAAAGAAAGAGTCCAGGATGATCTTGGAGGTTTAGTTTTGGTGACCAAGATGATAGAGGTGGTACAGGGGCTACAGGAGAAGAGTACGGGTTGATTAATGTGGTTGAGGGAGAATCCAGTTGGCGCCACTTACTGGAAGTTGGATATAAAATTCAGAAGCGTAGATAGGAAGTGGGTATATTTGCAAGTCATGAATAATATTTAGATAGGGGTTGAAATCATCAAAGTGGACGACGTAACACAAAGACAATGCCTAGAATGAACCGAAGGGTGACACAGGAAAGAATCCCAGAGGATCCAACCTTGGGTGAGGGCAAGGGTCAGAGGAGGACAAGCACAGTAGGGAGAAGGGGAAGGGACGGAGGGAGAGATTCATGGTGACCCGGGGAAAGAGAAAGAAAAAGCCAGTCCCTGACAGTTGGTGATTGTCCTGGCAGCCAGTAGCTGGGCCAGGACGATCCAATGTCAAGCATAAGTAATCTCACAGAATGTTAACATCAGACAAGGTCACTGTATCATTATGACAGAACAAGACAAAAACAAGACCGCTCCGTGTTCACATCTGGACACAGAAAAAAACGCACCATGCAACTACAAAATAAGATAGCACTCTTCCTGATATAGCATAACTTAGAACAAAACATGAAACCAATTTGCCAATAAATTTCATATATTGAAAAAAAAAGTGAAAAAACAAAACAAAAACAAAAAAAAACTTAGAACAAAACAGCCACATCCCTGAACCCTCTCCAAAGTCACCTGGCATCAGCCTAAATCGTTTTTTTTTTTTTTAAGTGTATCTATGTATTTTGAGAGGGAGGGGGGAGGCAGAGAGAGAGGGAGAGAGACAATCCCAAGCAGTCTCCACACTGTCAGTGCAGAGCTTGATGTGGGGCTCGAACTCACAGAACCGAGAGAGCATGACCTGATCCAAAACCAATGGTCGGATGCTTAACCGACTGAGCCACCCAGGCACCCCAAGCCTAAATCTTTTGACTGAGCTCTCCTAACATCCTCTGAGACACTCCCAGATTTTCCCGTGGTGTGCAGTGTCCTTTGCTGCAGAGTTAATAAATCTAACTTCATTTGACTATAGGTGTGTTCCTGATGATCTGTAGGCACTGGGCTTTAACATCTTTATAGAAGCCCAGAGAGCAGACAGTTTTACAGAGGGAGACATCACAGTATCTAGCGGAACAGAGAGGCTAATGATCGCCACTGAATTTGGCAAATATGAGCTTACTGGAGGAAGAGTTTTTGTAGGATATTGGGGGTAGACGCAGGGGTGTGCTTTTACTAGCGTGAGAGAGATGATTATGTATATTTCTTCCAAACTCTGTTCAGTGACATCAAGGTGGTAGCTGGATATCAGCTTTGGGGGAGTTTTACATGATGGAAATTGGCAGATGCTACAAGTTGAGGATGGGGGGCGGTGGTCAGAAAGTTGGTTGTTAAACATTTACTATCACACTACTGGGTAGAATAGACAGGAAGGAATGGGAAGGGAGAGTGGAGAGACAATTAAAAGTTTGCATGAACAGGGGAAGGGGAGAGATGGGACAAACATTAGAGGTGAAACACAGAGTCAGCAAGAAGTGGACTTCAGAATGCCTGGTTTCCTGTGCCTTGCTCGTTCTACACCTGCACGGTTATCACTTTGGTTTACTAGTGAGGTCATGGCAGCTTCTCTGGGACCATTTCATTACAGCTCAGGAAAGAATTGGTAGTGGGTGGGATGTTTACAAGGGTAAAGAGGAGGGACGAAAGAAGGAAACTTTTGGAGAAATATTTTCCAAATTCTTACAAATGGTTATTGTGAATAGCACTGGCTCTGGTGACGAATGGCTTGGGACGACGTGGGGGCTTGCCACTCGGGGACTGTGCGGTCTTGAGCAAGTTACTTAACTTCTTGGTGCCCCAGTCCTCTGGTCTATATGAAGGTGATGGGAGGACATGCCTCACCAGGTGGGATGTGGAGTACTTTTCTGGCACATAGTAAACTCCCAGCAAATATTAGTTAGCTGCTATGACCATTAGAGAAGATAGTAAAACAACTACATGTTTTTGTTTTTAAATTATATATTCACGCAGTTTTGTTTGTGATATTTATTGCTTTTATAACCATAAAAACCCCAATCGATAAAAATAAAAACCTTTCAGATACACTTTACATTGTCAAGTGCTCTGTAATCCCTGTGTTATCCAGCAGGGGGGACTATTTAATTGTCTATTATCCACTATAAGCTATCATTTCACTAATAATGATTAGGATGAATGATTGCATTGTCTGCGAAAACGTAACGATTTACAGTTGGTATTCGTACAAAGAATTTGTTCCTTACAAGCATGCAAAGGCCCCTTTCTAATCTTATTAGAGTGGGAAATCTATGAACATCATCACCATCAACCCTTTTATGGTGGCTTACGATGTGCAGGCACTATTCTGCACACTTTACATATGTTAGCTCTTTTAATACTCATTGCAACACTATGGGGTGAGCACTATCCACTTTACAGATGAGGAAACTGAGGCACAAAGAAGCTAAGTGTCCCCGTATCGCACAGCTAGTATCAGAAAGGATCTGAACCTGAGCTATCTGGTTCCACAATCTGAGAGACATATGTTAGGTACATTATCCAGACAGGGTGGGTTTAGTCTCTTCGAGAAATTCCGAAGAGCTACTCTGCTCTCTTTCACCTCATTAATACTCTCTTTCCCTCAAATCTATTGGAACAAGAGAAAGAAGGTATATCTAGTCCCAAATCATTTAGAGATATTAAGACCAATGAAACTCTCGTTTTGTCTAAAACCACTTTGCTCCTGATGAGTACTCTATTTGATTTGTAAGAATCTGACTTCTTCCCTCACAAATATACTATAGATACAGCTACTTAAACAAATATTTACCTAACTTTTGAAAACCTGAGAACTTATTTTCTTTACACAATCTTCACCGTAGGCAGTTAACTCTTGGCAGAAGCCCTCCCCCCACCCCCATGCTCTTCTTTCAAAGTGAAAATATTGGCCTCTAAGGAAAATAGGTGAATTCGGTTCATGTAAAATTAAGGCTGGGGAAATTTTTTTTCATGTGGTTTCAAACACTAACTTTCTCAGCACTTTTATTTCATGAGTCCTCAACAATTGTCGGAGAGCTGCTTAAGGCAAAATAGTCCTCTGTTTCTATCGAGAATACCGAAGTGAAACAAACAGAGGACTAAATTTTAAACATTGTGAAGTCTTTTATAACAACTGGGTGGGATGCAGCGGAGATCTGTGGAGGTGAAAGGTAAGATGTGACCCCTCGTGGGATGTTTTTCATAATTTGCCCAAGGCCACCGTGGAGCCTGACACTGAGAATCTGTTTCTCCTCAGTGCCACTCCCGGCTGCCACCCCACCCTCCCTACCACACCCGAGTCATGGTGGTGACAGAAGCAGGGCCGGGACACTGGAGGTGGGATTTTAGGCGCTGGCTGCATGCTGACCTATGGCTTTCATTTGGAGAAACCTCAAAATAGTAAAGGAAAAGAGGAGATTAAGTGGGGCTTCAATAGGGACAGGTTTGTGGTGGAGAGTGGACTGCCGCAGATCGGAACCTGAACCTATCTGGGAAGCCAAGATAAAGCGCTTCCAAGACTGGGGTGGCATCTGTTAAATCCTGTGCGTTCAGACATTAAATGTTTCTTTGAGCTCCCCCTAAGACCCAGACACAGCGCCAGCCACTGTGTTGAATAAAACCTGGCCTCTGCTGGCGAAGAGCTCCAGACCCAGCAGGAAAGGCGAGTACATAAACAGATAAAAGCGAGCCACGGTACAAGGTACAAAGGTGGAGAGCAAGAGGAAGTGCCCACCTCTGCTTAGGAGGGTCAGGGACCGGCTCCTGGGTTGCGCACGCGTTCAACCGGAGTGCGGCACTGACCCACAGGTACAACGTGGACACCCATGTCAAACTGCCTGACACCTGAAGGCAGGATTGTTGAAAATCAGACCATTATCCGACCTCGGGGATGAAATATTTAGCTGGTTGGCTCGGATGAAAACGTGCACCCGGCGAGGCACGGAGAAGAACCACATTTGGCGTGAGAGGCTCAAGGAGGCCGGGGAACAGGGCAGTGGGGAGGCGCAGAGGCGCGCGGGGCTGCAGCCGGGACCCCCCCCCCCTTCCCCGGGGCCCCCTTCCCAGGCCGGGCGCCGGCCCCCCGCGGCTCCAGGGCGGCGCGGGCGGGCCAGGCTCACCCACGCCCGGTGTAACCCGAGCCCGGCCCCGCCTCTCCCCGCGCGCACCCCGGCCGGCCGGGCAGGTCGGGGCGGCGCGCCGTGAGTCACCGGAATCTAGGTGGGGCCCCGGCGCCCCGAGCCGCGTCCTCCGGGAGCCGCCTCCCCGCGGCCTCTTCCCTTTTGTCGCGCTGCCTGCGCTCGCGGGCCACTCTCCGCCGGCGACCGAGCCCCGTGCGCTCCTCTCCTCCGCGCCGCCACCGTCGAGATGCTGCGCTGCGGCCTGGCCTGCGAGCGCTGCAGGTGGATCCTGCCCCTGCTGCTGCTCAGCGCCATCGCCTTCGACATCATCGCGCTGGCCGGCCGCGGCTGGCTGCAGTCGAGCGAACACATCCAGACGTCCTCCCTGTGGTGGCGATGCTTCCACGAGGGCGGCGGCAGCGGGTCCTACGAGGATGGCTGCCAGAGCCTCATGGAGTACGGTGAGTGCCGCCGCCGCCTCCGGGAAGCCCTCTGGGCTGCGGCTGGGCGTGCGCGGCCTCCGGCCTTCGGAGGCCGCCCTAGGCAAAAGGAGTGAACCGGGGCAGAGGTAGTGAGTGATTAAAAAAAAAAAATGTATTTAGAGCTTAGGTTAGGCATCCGACCCGAGCAAAAGAAAGCAGCTGCAGCTTTGAGTGTCCAAAACCAGGCTCACAGCTGGGCCAAAATGGCCCTAGTTCAAACTATTTTTTTGTAGGGGTTGTCGGTGACATGCAAAAGGTGATTTTTCAGCCATCAAAGAGGTTTAGATGAGTAAATACAATGAACAAAGTCTATTTTCTTGGAGACCTAGTGAACTCTCTTGCCATTATGCCACCGCCTCCTCTGATTCCTTGTAAGATGAAAATATACGCGCCTTCCCCAAGGTCGGTGTATTCGTTTGGCTTGAACTGAGTGAAAGCAACTCTTACTCGGTTAAAAAAAAAATGGAATTTTTGGCGAAAGTGTTAGTTATGATTTCAGTGGGCACTGCGGTTCTTTTAAGGAGCAGGCTAGTTCTGGTTCTTTTTTTGTTTTTAGGGGGTGTCTTTTTGACTTAAGTACGGCATTGCTGTTGAGAAAACTCAGTTATTTTCATCTGATTTGAAATCTACACAGCAAACACATCTTCTACACCAGCAAAATGAAGCAGCGTTGACAAATTTCACATACTGCAGTTGGAGTTGCTTTATTTTTCCAGCATGAAGCAGCCTGGGTGTTTTACTTAATCGGCGCCACTGGAAAGGGGCACATTCTTGCCCGCTGCCACCCCCCACGAAGGGTAGTTGCCAAAAACAGCTGGGATCTATTGTGATTAGTGTGTGTGCCTGGGGTGCTGGAGAGGAGGGTTTAAGTACGAGCCCAATTCCCAACTGAAAGCCAAGTGCTCTCGAATGGGGCTTTAGCAACTGAGTTTAAAACCGAGGAAGAAGCCTGCCCTGCCTTTCTCCATTCCCTGCGAGGGCGATGGACTTGATTCTTTACTCTGAAGTGGCCTAGGACTTCGAAGCACCCAGTTTATTTCTGGTTCTGGGGGCCCGTATCCAGAGCCTGGTGCTGTATCTTATCTACTGCGGAATTGTTTGGAAGTTCTCACCATGAGCTTGCCCCACAAAGGGAGGCATGGTCCTCATTAGCAGGTAATGAAATGTAAAGACCGCAAGGAATTCCTGCTTGCCTTAAAGTCTGTGTTTTTCCTCTCTTCAAACAAACAGAACGCCTGCCGGGGTTTCTAGTATCTCAGATCTTTTAGGGTTTTAAAGGGAATTAATTTCTTTGAAGTCACACATCTGTATCTTTTAGCCAAAATGCATTGGAACTCAGTCTCTCTGGGGGACTTACGAAGACTGCTTATACAGATGTGTTCTTGTAAACGGACTTGATGATCAGACGTCAGAACAGAGACTAATAATACAGACCCAGAGAGCACTCTGCGGTCCTCCGCATGTGAAGGTCAGGCTGGAAGAGTGGTGCTGCGAGAACGGCCATCAACACTGCTGCTGGGACATGATCTAGCCTGCCCGGCTCTCCCCGGCTGTGGCTACAGCCCTCTTGTGAAACTCACACAATGCAGTTCTTATTTTTCCTGGACTTGGAGGATGAGCTCACCTTCCCAGGGTGTGGCTCCTCCAGCCTCAGAATGATACAGTGCTTTGTATGTGGAAGGGAATAAGCAGGTTTTGTTGGTGCAATTTTTTAATTAGAAGGCTAACGCATTAACTTTTTTAATTGTAAAGACAACACTGATCCAGTCCATAAACTATGTTTCAATCTGATAGAGAAATTGGTTTTTGGTGGGGTGCCTGGGTGACTCAGTCCGTTGAGCTTCTGACTCTTTTTTTTTTAATTTTTTTTTCGACGTTTTTATTTATTTTTGGGACAGAGAGAGACAGAGCATGAACGGGGGAGGGGCAGAGAGAGAGGGAGACACAGAATCGGAAACAGGCTCCAGGCTCCAGGCTCCGAGCCATCCGCCCAGAGCCTGACGCGGGGCTCGAACTCCCGGACCGCGAGATCGTGACCTGGCTGAAGTCGGACGCTTAACCGACTGCGCCACCCGGGCGCCCCTGAGCTTCTGACTCTTGATGTGGGCTTAGGTCATGATCTCACCCTTCTTGGGTTTGAGCCCCCACATCAGGCTCCGCGCTGACAGTGTGGAGCCTGCTTGGGGTTCGCTCTCCCTGTGCCCCTCCCCCACTCACGTTCTCTCTCTTTCTCTCAAAATGCATAAACTTAAAAGAAAAAAAGAAACTGGTTTTTGGTAAAGTTCAGTTTTCCAAGCGGGTCTTGAAAAATCTGTTACCTGTATGACGCGGCAAGACTGATTTTCCGTAAGGGGGCGGTGGCATTAACATCTCAGTTCAGTTATTCCTGTGTCGTTTGCAAAGAGAAGTGCCAATAACGTGTTCGATGCAGCTTTTGCTCTAGACCTGGAATCAAATCATGAATCCAGGAGCCACGGTCATGGTCATTAGGCAACCGTGGGAAGAAGAATACTGATGTGAACTCTCAAAGAGAGGTCCATTTCAGGCTGTTCTGGTCAGAGATGAACTGGAGTGTTTATTACACTTTCACTTCATTTTCTGCCATGGATGTTGGCTTCCTTAACAGGTGTAAAAATTGTGTATTCCTACACTATAGGGCGATTATCTAGGCATCTCTGAACCCTGGAGATTTTCAGATAACCCCAGTAAGGCTTTGTGGAAAACAACGTGTTTATGGGAGGTTTATCTAAAATGTAGTGAGCAGTTTACACACACTCCCACGTATGTATAAACACAACAAAGAGTAAGGTGGATGGCTCTACTTAAAATATCTCAATACAGAGGATTGACTTTTGTACATCCACTTTTTAAAAACTTCTTGAAATGTACTAGAACATCAACATGACATCATTGTAACTTAAAACAATTTTTTTTATTGTTTCATTTATTTTTAAGAGAAAGAGAGAGAGACAGAGAATGAGCAGGGGAGGGTCAGAGGGAAAGGGAGACACAGAATCCAAAACAGGCTCAAGGGTCTGAGCTGTCAGCACAGAGCCTGATGCGGGACCCGAACTCATGAACCTCGAGATCATGACCTGAGCCGAAGTCGGATGTTTAACCTACTGAGCACCCAGGTAACTTTAAGCCACACATGTAACTACCATCGTAACTTTTAAGAAAATATACCTTTTGATTACAAAGTGCTTGACCATCTCTTTGTATTAATATTCATAACATTAATATGCTCATTTTGATATTAAAAACAGATTATTCTTCAAGTATTGGCAATAATACTAATAACATAGATGTTTTTATAAAGGGAGATAGTTCCTTAGAACTATGTAAAATGCAGAATATTCTATTCCTCGTGGTTATTGACAGATTTTTAAAGAATTTCAGATTGCCACGTCACCTCATTTTTCCTTATAAATCAACCAAATTATAAGCTGGATATTTGTTTTTACATGGTATTAACAACTAAATAGATACCCAGCTTAACAAATACTTGTTTAGTTTTTTAAAACATCATGAGCATGTAGAGCACAGAAAGAACCTCACATTTATATTTCTCCAAACAGGAAAAGAACATTGAAATAATTGTTCGAATTTCACATGTAAATAAAATGCAAAATTAAATTGGAATGCATGTTCATGCAGACTGTTTTTGTACCGTTGGCACCTTTTATTCCCCGTTTTTAAGAAGAAATACATCAGGAAGATATTTTAAGTGTCAGTGATACAGATTCTAAAGCCCAAGCAAGCTGTGGCTTGTCAGGGTGGAGACTAATGGAGTTGGATTTATGCACCGGGATAATGGCGATGAGTTTATGCACCAAGAATGGCAGCGGGGAGTCAGTACGGCCAAGTCCAAGAGGGCTTGCTTTAGATCTGAACTCACAAGTTCAGAGCTTCATTTTACCAGACGCCCTTTGAATACCACAGAATGCATTGAATGGTATTTTTTTTTTTTTTTTTTTACATGAACTCAGTCTTGGATAAGTCCAAGAATCAGAGTATTTATTATGTGGATCTTTTTAGATCATTTAGCCCTACGGTTCTTAAAATGTACAGGAAATGAGAAGCATAAGTACAAAGTGAATAGGTTTACATTAGGCAAAATTGAACTTAGAAGAGTTCGTTTTGAGACTGTGCCCTTGAGGCCTTTTTGCAGAGAGGTAGGGTGAGATCTTGAAATGTTATTGTTTTATGAAATTAGGCATTAGTAGGTAGATTACTCTTTGTGGGTGTGTGTTCATGTCTTTACACAGAAAAATAAAGGTTGGCCACTCCATTGATTTTCCGAATTAAAGCATAGATATGTGTGTTCATTTATAAAATCCAGACGTGTGGGAACTTGTGACCTAGCCATTTGCTGCACTTGGCAGTAATCGCCCGACAGCCTCACTCCCTTTTTAGTGACCTAACTTGTTTTCTCCGTGCAAGCGGGCACAGACTCACAGGCTATGAGAATTAGAAGGGTGTAAGAGTGCACCTGTTTACACTTTCACCAAAGCCTGTGCTCATCAGCACCACCCACGATGAGCGGAGCCCTCTTCCCTTTGTTCGCAACTTAATTCAATTCCCTGGACGCTGCTCTTTGTTTAAAAGTACTTGTCTGGGGCGCCTGGGTGGCTCAGTCGGTTAAGCGTCCGACTTCGGCTCAGGTCACGATCTCACGGTCCATGAGTTTGAGCCCCGCGTCGGGCTCTGGGCTGGTGGCTCAGAGCCTGGAGCCTGCTTCCGATTCTGTGTCTCCCTCTCTCTTGCCCCTCCCCCATTCATGCTCTGTCTCTCTCTGTCTCAAAAAAAAAAATAAATAAATAAATAAAAAATAAAAAAAAATAAGTTCTAAAAAAAAAAAAAAAGTACTTGCCTTACGCCGATGGAGCTCAAATGTGCTTCCGTGTAAATTCTCCTTCCCAGCCTTCTTCATCTGACAGACTTTCAAATACGTGACCGTTGATCCCCAGTTCCCTGCT